GACAACTTTTTGGGATCAATTCCCTTTGACAGAATATGTTAAATTTTAAACTTGTGATGCTTATATCCAATGTTCTAAAAGACGCTAGGCGTTAGTCCAGCGCCTAGCGCCTAGGCGGGCGCCTATGCGGGGACTAGTCGGAGACATATGAATTGCATTTTTATCTATTTTTTTGCATAATTATGACAAGTAATATTGTATTTTTGTGTGTATAAAATACTTATATACATATACATTAACAAACATGGAAGATAGAATTCTCACATTTAATCATACGTAGTATATGATAACTAATCATTTAACTTCATTATGGTATAAATATAAATAATGATAAAATTTAGGTGTATATACAAACATATATAGTTTTATCTTAATTTGCAACTTTATTTCTTTATATCCATGGCTAAAGTTAAAATAGGTATATCGCTTAGAAAATTAAAATTAAAAAATAAATTAACGTTCGGCGAATCTAGATGGCCTAGGCGGCCGATTAGGCGCTCTATGCGGGCAACTAGCTAGGCGCCGTAGGCGGCTGACTAATTCACATGGATGACAAACCAATTAGTCGGAGCGCCTAGACGAAAATCGGGGTGCCCGCCTAGGCAGAGACTAATCGGGCGCCTAGAACGATTTTTAGAACAGAGCTTATATCAAGTTTAGGAATAAAACCTTCTTTTACAATTACTTATGGGTCTTCATCCAGATTTTGATAATTAATTGCCATTCACGCGCTGCTTATTTGGTGATGATGTGGTAAATGAACTCATGACGGAACAAACTTGTTTGAAAAATCTAAAGGGGGTGAACACTGCTTCCACTTCAGCTAGCCTTGATAGTTTCTCTGTCAACTTCCTTTATTGAAAGTTGTAACCATTGCAAACAAGAATTGCATTTCAATTGTAATGAGCAAAAGTTTATCGATCTTTGTCGATTATTCTTATTTCACTCATATTTTAGAGATTGTTTCATATGATTATCATATACGAAGTATATAACGTGATACCCCGTATAATATTTCAATTGCTTTGATAGTTCGTAATATGAATCATTATAATTAGTCGTTGTAAGTTGTAACATTTTAATCTAAGCAAAAGCTCAACATTCCTCGAAATTTAAATTGTGAAATTCCTTTCCAAAAATGTGAAATCAAAAGTCCAGCAACAAAACTATGTGTGCGAAAAAAAAAATGTAAAACCTAGATTGCTTAACAATTAGTTATGAACTTGTCATATTTCTCAGTTCTTACAATGTTTCTATATTACTTCCTCGTAAAACTATTTCCGTGAACACAAAATGAGAAGTCGGAATTGTAATACTCTTAAGAAGTCCAATATAACATTGTTGAGATGATGCTATTAGATTTAAAAAACTGTAATTACCAATTGAACTAGTATTAGGAAAATATATTTCTAATATGAAAAAGATCAAATTGAATCAAATTAGGAAAATAATCAAATCGAATCAAATTAGGAAAATAATCAAATTGAACACTGCTTATATGTGAACTATCATTAGGAAAATGTATTTCTCATATGAAAAAGAAAGTTTTTGAATCATATGAATAATTCATCTAATTTAATAATTTCTAACATTAAAATTAGATTGTCATAATGTAATAATATGAATTGTAGCTATAAATGAATAGAAAAAATTCCAAGAAACAAAGGATTTCCAGAAAAATAAAAGCATATTTGATGGTACCATGGATTGGATTAAACTCATCAATATTTAAGGATGAAAGTTAGAAATGTTTTACAAATTTCAAAATACTTCTCTAAATACAACAATGGTTGTTACATTGATGCGTTTGCGACCTTTGTCACATTACTCACATATAAGTATTTCCAAACCACCGGAATTAATAACACGCGAAACAGCAACATACATACAACTTCTACCATGATTGAAAATGGGTTTTCGCAAAACTAATTAACTTAATATTAGACAATGATTATCCTTGACTCTTGTTTATGATCACTTGATATGAGACAATCAGAAGAAATGTGTTATTTGAAACTTGAAAGGCAATCTTAAATGAGATGGTTCAAGGACATTCTTGATATTGACTCCTTTTCACTTGCTCTATCCGCCAAATATGTTGCTTCCAAAACATGTTATACTTAATCTGGTAATAACCATTCCAGGGAGAATCCTATATTGCTAGAATTAATACTATTAATATTGATTCATTACTTGAATTTACTCCAACCTAATTAGAATTTTTTCCATATATATGCTAATGTTTTTTTAAAATAATTTTAATAATTGGCAGATCCAGACCAAAATGCAGCCCAAAAGACACAACCAAAAGCCCAAAACCCAGGTGTAAATTACTCCCCAAACCCAACTCTCACCAACACCCCACCTCAACAACCTCACTGACCACAACCACAGCCATTGGCACTCGCCTCTGCAATGTCTGCATTGACCAATCGTAGTTTTCCATCACTTGAATTGCACCCTCTATGTTGACCGATTACCACCACTAAGCTCATGAATGATCACCACTGTGTTCATCATGTACATTCGGCGTCTCCGCAACTGTCACCACCTTTACGACCCTCAATCATCAACAATTTTTTCATAGATAAGTTCTACGATTTAATAACTTCAATTGATTTCTTTTTCACACAATTCTGAAATATTTTAGTATACTTTTTTTCATTTAAAGATATGTAATTAGTTTGTACACTTAATGGCAATTTATCGTTAATGTTAAGTCACTACTTCATATATATTTTCTTGGAAAAGATCCGATCAAATTTATATTTTTTTGAATAAGAACTTCAAAAATTGTGATTTTCCGGGTAATATGATCCGGAATTGCTTGTTCTATTACGTGGAATGCTTGCAAGTAAACATTTTGTTTCAGAAAATATATTACCCTAGAATTGATTTGTGATAAATAAACAGAGAGATATACAAAAAAAAAGGGGCATGCAACATTTTCTAAGGCTTCACAATATACTTTTAATGCCTCTAATTTATCATTCATTTTAATTTTTTAATGCAAACAGAGGAATGAACCATAACAAATTACAAGTGTTGTGTATTACACTTGAAAAGATGAAAGAGCCAATTTAGAAATAAACTGATTGCAATTGTCACAATGTGTTTAGTTTTGATGTGTTAAAAGTATGACCTCTGTTCTAAAAATTGTTCTAGGCGTCCGACTAGTCCCCGCCTAGGCGCTAGGCGGTAGTCGGGCGCCCCTATTTTCACCTAGGCGCTCCGACTAATTGATTTACCGTCTAGGTGAATTAGTCGGCCGTCTATGACGTCTAGTTGCCCGCCTAAAACGTCTAATCACCCACCTAGGTCATCTAGATTTGCTGAACATTACTTTACTTTAAAATTTTAATTTTCTAAGCGATATAAGTACTTTAACTTTGGTCCCGGATATAAAGAAATGAACTTGTAAATTAAGACATAGACTATATATGCTTGTATATATACCTAGATTTTATTATTATTTATATATGTATGTGTATATATGTATTTTATACACATAAGAATACAATACTTTGTATTACTTATCATATTTATGCAAAAACATAGAGAAAAATGCAATTTATATGTCCCTGACTAGGCACCCGCCTAGCCGCATAGGCGCTAGGCGCTGGGCTAGCGCCCGACTAGTGCCTAACGCCTTTTAGAACATTGAGTATGACTGCACATCTACAAAATAAAAAGCCATAGTGTGCCCAATTTTTTTTAAATAAAAACTCAACTACTTAGAAAGCTATATATTTGCAGGTTAATGATATATATAGTTCCCTGGAAGTAAAAATGCCATATACATGTGAATGCTATATACTTTTAAATAAAAATGTGTTACATGTGGTGCTGATCAGCACCACATGTATTTGTCCACATGTATATACTTCATGAAGTCCACTGTTTCTGTTGTGATGTATTTGTTCAATATTTTAATGATCAACAAAGATTTAGGCAAAGAACTTGTAAATTATTCCATAAATGTTATTGTTGTTCTTTGTAGTAATCATTCCATATTACTATGAACGCTCAACTATATCTTATATTGTGACAAAGAAAGCTCTAACTAAATACTTGATTAATGGGATAAGACATGAGTCACATGAGTACTAGTTCATATGTGTATTTATAAGCTCTGCGGACATAGGGTGATAGGGGGTGAAGCAAGCGCAGCTTCAGCGTGTCTGGAGGTGTAATATCCTTTGCCAAACCAAAGGCTGGAGGCATCTTCAAAGCAAGAATTTTTTTAAGAAAAAAACCATTCTAAAAACTCTGAATAACAAAGTAAATGAAATCTTTTAACGATTATAAATCTATATGCTTATAACAGGATTGCTTAGCAGTGAGTGTAGAGTGTTTGGGCGTTTGGCAGAGAGCAATTGGTATGATGGAATGGAGTGACTTGCTAGAGTCCTATTTATAGTAGAAATTTTCACACTTGGCTGCAAACAATATTAAATGTACAAGTGTTGAAAGATGTGATGCACATTATATTCTTTTATATGTATACCGTTTATTGATAAATCTAATGGCTTCATTTAATGGTACATACAACATGCTGGGAAGTAGGAATACCAAAAGACACTTTAAAGAATTGCACAAGAACTAATCTAGACACTCGAAATGGCTTCACTAAGTCTAGAGAATTCCATGCCGCACAGTAAATTAAAGCATCCAATGTGCCTTTTTATTACTGCAGATGCAACAGAAATACAAAATTGCTAAAACCCCTTCTAGTGTTTTGAAGGAAATTAATTGATTGATTAATTAATTAATCCATGACAGCATTTAAGTAGGGATCTCACTAGGGAATTTTAAAAGACTAATAGTTGGCAGCTCATTTATATTTGCACAACATTTAATACTTTTGTCAGCTCATTTCATACATATTTCAATCAAATACTTTTCACACCTTCCGCCCAAAATGGCCCTGCCTCATTTCATACATATTTCAATCAATACTTTTCACACCTTTCACACCTTCAATCAATATAGTTACATGATAATGTATTTTTTGAGAACATCTCATATTTAAGAAGTTAAAAATGTATTTTTGACTTTTCACACAAGATTTTATGGGACTGAAAAATATCAATTTGTTAAATTGATTTAACAAAATGATAGAATTCAGTTACATGATTGATGGATCCTGATAGAGGTAAAAGTCTAGAGGGGGGGGGGGGGGGGGTGAATAGACTTTTAAAGCTTTTTCACTTTTAAAACTTTTCCCTTCTAAATGAGTTGATCTATAATCTTTTGAGAGATTTATAGATGCACATCGGAAGTCTTCAACCTCTTTGAATAAACAGTGTGAAACAACTTTCTTTCTTGGGTGAAGTTTGAGCTTAAACAGAATGCTTGGTCTTTGACCGTGAGCAGTTGGCTTGGCAGTTGCCTGGATGACAGGGAACTGCTGAGGCAACTGCTAGTGGAAAATAGGAGTTTGGAAAAGATGATTATGTGGCCTTATGCAGAATGATGAGGGCTTTCTGAAGATGTAATGAGCTGGAGATAAAAAGGGGTTTTGTTTAAGCAGAGGTCTAAGTAGTTGGGTGGACCCAGGAGACTGCTAAGGAACCTGCTGCATATGAAAGATGTATTTCTGAATACTGGCAAAACGGACCTTTTAGTGGTGATATTGTAAGGCTTTTGTGGAAAGATTGTCTCTAAGAAAAGTGAGTAATTAAGCAGTAGGGTCAATTAAGACTACTGGTTGGGATGGTGCTGGCAAACTACAATCCTTTTGTGAGAAGTGTTTGGTGTGTGCTTTGTTGACTGAAGGTAAATCAACGCATAGTATATCCTGGTTCAGAGGTGGTGTAATCCTCCTACGTCCAGTCCCACCCTATCTCAGATGGATTTCCACTAAAGTATTAAGCCCAATACAGTTAGTGTCAATCTAGCCTTTACAACTCTTAGGCCTAGATAGAAGGTGTTTCACAATGAGTATAGCACCACTCAAAGTTACTCAATCCTTTAGATTTTTCTCAATTGATCCAGTGGGGATCAAAGGGTACTCTATCTATCTAACCACACTTTAGGTTCCGAACAACTGTTCTCCTAAGTGTTTACAACCACAATTTGTGAGATATTACAAGAAAGTTCTGGTCACCAACTAAGAACTAAGCTCTAAAAGTATGAGAGTGTTGATCTAATCTAAGAGCTTAGTGAAGCATGAGTCAAAGCAGAGAGTGAAGTTATGATCGAGCACTTTCTCTATTGCTAGATATCCTTTGAATGCTTATAGGATCTCTCTACTTTGAACTCAAGAACTTGGTTTTGAACTCATGCTTTGGCCTCTATTTATAGGCGTCTCCGGTAGATTAATCTCATTCGTTGGTTGAGATGAATTAATCTTAGTCGTTGAATCCTGGTTTCAGAAGATAACAACTTGTTGCTTGTCTTCTTCTTTGGAGCTGATAACTTCTTTGTCCTTGTGTGCCTAGCCGCTGCATTTTTCTCCTTCATAGGCTTCAAGTTAACTGCGCATCCCATACTGTACGTCTTTGCATTAAATGCTCTCCATGTTGGATTCCTTTGATTGGCTCCGGATAGTCACGAGATGATATAACAAATAATGGCACGCATAACTTGGGACTAATAAACTTTATACTGGTAGGATTTGAATATCCTTTTAAGGTAAATGAATTTACCTTATTGCATTTTTACTTTCCAGTATTGAATTTAGTAATCCCAAAAGTTATACATTTATTTGTCCTCAATTATACACATGTATTATTTATTTCTGTGTGACTTTCATCTTTGTGATGAATTAAAATGTGTGTGTTAAGTAAAATATATACCGGTAGGATTTAAATATCCTTTTAAGGTAAAAATTACCTTATTGTATTTTGACATTTCCGGTATATTTTACTTGACACACACATTTTACTTTTGATATTTGGTCACTCTTGGTTTGTATGTCCCAGCTAGTATTTCGACCATAAATCAAATATTTAACTGGTAGGATAACAAATCCTATTAAGGTAAAAATTATTACCTTATTGCATTTTGTGTTCCAGTTAAATAAATAATTAGTTGCACGAACTGTATCCTGTTTTTTTTATGTTCATTTGATATAACAAATAAATTTAACTGGTAGGATCTAAGAGAAATCCTTTTAAGGTAATCGAATATTACCTTATTGCATTTTATGTTTTTCCAGTTAAATTTATTTGTTAATTGATAATTGCAACAAGACACTTTACTAGCCAGAATACAAAATAGTTAAGGTTGAATGCTACAAAAGATAGGGGATATCAAAACTATGGCATCATCAAAACTATTTATCAAAATCTAGGGGTCCAACAATGATAATAAATTTTCATAATTGTATATTCTAAATCTAAACATGAGTTAAGTTATTTTTATTTTTAAGTACATAAAATAAAAGAAAAAGAATATTAATGACTTTCATTGACCGACCGGATATGAAAAACCTTAGGTGAGTTTCCAAAAATGACCAAAAAAATATTAAATTTGACTTATTTGGTATATTTACAGCCATTACTTACAAAATTCTGGAACTGATCGTTTTTTGAAAATCAAATACAGAATTGTCTCTCAAAATTTGAAAAAACCAGAAGTAGTATGAGTCAGTTTATGGAGCCCCATATGACTCTCTTATAGAGCCATATGAGGTATTGTTACCATCTTTACCATTCAATTTTTAAGTGGATGGGACCACTTAAAAATTGAATGGTAAAGATGGTGCCATAATACCCCATATGACTCCATAATGGAATCATATGGTGATATGGAGCTCTATGAAATTTTTGGAAATAGTATAGGAAGTTTTATTCTTAGTTTGTTCTACATTATATTCTTCTTAGAAAGAAGAATACGAACCAAGCATTCCAGTCCAGCTGGTTGTGAGGTTACCGTGCTTAGTGGGAGATCTCGAGTTCGAATCCCGCTAGGCACACAAGGGTGTGAAACTCAATGGAGTGGGGTTTCCCCTGATTACTCCAGACTCCCCCCAGCCCCCTCCCCCAGACCCCCTGGAGTAAAAAAAAAAAAAGAATATGGAAAATCAACTAAGATGCATATTGAGGATAACTAACTCATTCTATGAACCATTTGTAACAACAAAACGCTGATAGAAGTTATTACTACGTATTAAATAAAAATAATTCTTTCACTTCACTATTACATGATATATAAAAGAAACTGAAAGATAATTTAGATTATTCAAATACGTATCTAAAATTCTGCAAATGAAATGAAAAGGCGTGTCACAACAGCTAAACTGTCTCAAACTTCCAGATACATAAAAGAAAATCAATTTTGATATATCTTATGATATGAAACAATATGTAATAAATATCGAATGAAATACCAGTGGAGAGGAGTTTGAGTCAGACATGAAACAGTTTTCAACTGAGAAGCAAGAACACCTTCATTTTAAATCGGACTTAGAATTAAAAATTAAAGCAAAAAGTCAGTAAAACTCACGAGATTGATTGATGAAAACAGTTTCCCAATAACTCATCTGAAATCAAATTGAAAGACGAGTGAAGCAGACTGATGTTTTGAGGAGGAAGATGAATGGATTTCGGTCTTAGAAACCCTCGGGTGAAATACGTTAATAGAACAATAGAATGGGGTGGGTTTGTTTATCGAATAAAGTTCTAATGAAAGCCACGTTTTTGCTAAATACAATCTATTAGGGACCATGCATACCGGTCATAGTTTATTATTTTGGTGTCAACTCCGGTACCTTTCTAAAAACAGTGGTACCATATCTAGCATTCATTTGATTGGACCACATTACTTTATAGATTTTAATTTAGATTTAAATAATTCAATTGCTACCTTTTCATTGGTTCATGTGGACAAAGGTATGGAACCTTATGAGTACCATAGAAACTACCTATTATTTTTGGTAGCATTATTATTATAATGATTGTCTCCTTATTTGTTTCTAAATCTACTCCAAAATTATAAGAGCTAATCTTGTAAACCCTTATTAGTTATTTCGGCCAAGAAGGCTCGTTCATATACTTTAGAATTATAGCATGGTATCAGAGACATACGGCTGACTACTGAGATACGCACCTTGACGCCATGGCAAACGACGATAACGAAACAGAAAACTCTGTTTCGAAGGAGATAAAAAGCGCCCATACTTCGCCGTTCTTCTTGGGGCCTCAAGATAGGCCGGGTGACTTCATCACACCCATTCGTTTGACGGAGAATAATTATGAGGACTGGGCTGCATCCGTTCGGTTAGCACTGAAAGCCTGACGGAAGTTTGTGCTTGTTGATGGAACTATCACGAATTGAAACCGAAGCCGCCTTGCACGAACGATGACTAGGAAACTCTACATTCGATGATCGTGTCTTGGATCATGAACGTCATATCACCGGAGGTAAAAAATACTCTTTCTCGGTATGAAGATGCTCGCCGATTATGGTGTGATTTAAAGGAACGATTTTCCGTCGTTGATGGACCTCGCATATACCAAGTCAAAACAGATTTGGCACGATGTGAGCAGTAAAAAAATATGTCTATTGGGACATACTATTCTAAACTGAAAGTCTTGTGGGACGAACTGAATGATTATGAGCCGTTGTTGAGCTGCAACTGTGGCAAGTGTACCTCAAACTTGAATGAGCTCCTTGAAAAACGAAGAGAAGCAGAACGCTTTTATCAATTTTTAATGGGACTCTACACAGATTTTTACGGACAAGTTCGTTCTCAACTTTTAACCCAAACACCTCTTCCAACGCTCAACCGTGCGTACCAACAAGTAACACAAGAAGAAAGAGTGCGTGGAATAATGACGTGCACTTTGTCGTGGTGTGCACTCAAAATAATTATCAATACAACAATTATACGTAGTATAACGAAGTAAGGTTCGTATCCACAGGGAAAGGAATACTTCCCTTTTTAATTAAATAGTAACAAGGGGGTTTTAGATGTGTTTGATTTTAATTAATTAAATACGAAGATGAACGACTTAAATGACTTTAATTAATAGAGATGATGACTTGGTTTTGCTTTTATCCATTTAATGAAATGTTCGTCGATCCCGGTTATATCTTTAACTATCTTCCTCTCGAATACTCAATCGAGGAGTATATCCAATTCATCAAGGGTAGTTATTAATAACGAGACGCGTTCATTAATAAAACTTACTACCGAGTCAATATAGAACACGCGACGTATATTAACCCGATAGTAGCAATAAAATCAAGATGAAAACGATTGAGATTGATAACCTCAACACAAGCGGTTTATTGGTTTAATCAACATAATTAGTTCCCCTTAGTTTATTAACCATGAAACGCATGCATTAATAACCCAAGTTTACTACCGTGAAACGATCGAACGATTAACACCAGCGTATTCGTCGATCGATTCTAGTAATAATTAATATATGAAACAAAACTAGTTGATCCTTTAAGTAATGTTCAAAATATTAATATGAAATGTGAATAGGAATTAATTAATACTCAAGGAAGAATATTAAAGAAGATGAATCCTACTATAATTAATATCAAGATGTTAACTAATTGTCATCTTAGTAACACTCCCTAATATTAACATAGAGGAAGAAATAACTATTACTATAACTAATGTCAAGATGTTAACTAATTGTCATCTTAGTAACACTCCCCAACATTGATATAGAAATAGTATTTAAAGGAAGAATTAATATTCAAGGAAGAAGATTAAAGAGAATAACTCACAACTTACAAATTCATTAAGCTTCAAAGTAGCAAAACCAAGATGGAAGAGTTTAGCTCCTCATTTGGAGACTAAACATGATAGAAAATATAAAGAAAACACTAATCTAAACTGAGCTAAAGAGTATATGTGAATTGGTGATTTTATTGTGAAGGAAAGGGGTGTATTTATAGGCTTTTGGGAGCTGCAGGGTCTGATACCCGATCGGGTATATAGGATACCCGATCGGGTATCTTAGGAAATTGCCCAGAAAGTCACTTTTCTTGGCATACCCGATCGGGTATGTCGGCATACCCGATCGGGTATGTGACAAATCTTCACGAAAATTTGCTCCCACGATCATTTGTTCCCGGATTTGATTTGGACAATCGAATCAAGTGAATACCCGATCGGGTATAGGCAATACCCGACCGGGTACATGAGTATTTTTTCCAAATCAAAATTTTTCTTGTCTCCTTGCACTTTCCTTGATCTTTTAAGGTCCAATCTTGATCCCTTGGATGATATTTGACCTGTTTAGCTCAGAATAATCCTAATCTAAACAAATTACAAATAAAAATGAAAATAAAATATTACACCAAAAGTGTGTAATTTCCACAACTAGAACTAATAAAAACTAGTTAAAAATACAAACATACAATCGGAAATTACATGAATATCAAATAACCCAGGTGAAGGATGATAGGCCTCATGTGGTGGGCTTTGCTGCTCGTCCTGAAGGGCGTGGGAAGGGAAAGATGGCTAAGCCAGATAAGTCTGGCATGATATGTACCTATTGTCATCTTTCCGGACATGACGTAGCCCATTGTTTTGAGCTCGTCGGCTACCCCGAGTGGTGGGCGGATCGTCCACGTGCTGCGGTGAAACAAGGGAAATCAGGCTCTGCAAATCAGGGGATGTCAATGATGCCTTCACAATCTGGAACCTTGAAAGCTCATGCAGCGAAGGCAGGTAGTTCAGGAGCAAAGGGGTTTGACGGAGCAAAGGGGGCTGAAGATAAGGACAATTCACCGACACCCATACCAGGTTTCACACCGTACCAATGGAAGGCACTTGTTGCCGCCTCTAGTAACGCTCAAATTACAAATGAATGCATGTCCGGTAAGTTTGACAATTCCTTATGGATACTTGATTCTGGGGCTTCTAATCATCTCACAGGAAACATGAATTATTTACGTAATATGAAGGATATTCCTCCTTGTCCAGTGGGCTCCATGTATTTGACAGTAAACTTGTCCCTTGATCGTGTGCTTTATGTTCCCCGTCTGTATTGTAATGTTATGTCGGTTTCACAACTGAATGACAACTTAAATTTTTTCGTTCAATTCACAATTAACTTTTGTGCTATACAGGACCGACACTCGAGGAAGCTAATTGGAGCGGGTTAGAGGAGGAATGGACTTTACTACTTGCAGCAACCTTTTGTTGCTCAGACAATTCTCGTGGGACAGGCATCTACGTTTGATATGTGGTATCAACGTTTGGGACATCCTTCAGAAAATATTATAACATGTTTGCCATTTGTTAGTAGTTCTAAGCAGCATTTCTCTAAGCCTTGTGATGTGTGTTTTAAAGCTAAACAGACATGTGACTCCTTTCCTTTAAGTAATAGTTTTTCCACAAGGATTTTTGAGTTAATTCATTGTGATTTATAGGGTCCGTATGAGACTCCGATCCATCTTTGTGTGGAGCTAAATATTTCCTGACTATTGTGGATGATTTTTCTCGTGCTGTTTGGATTTATTTTTTGATTGATAAGAAGGAAGTAATTCCTACATTTACCGCTTTCTTTGCCTTGGTTAATAGACAATTTTCTCAACAAGTTAAACTGGTGCGTAGTGATAACGGTACAGAGTTTAATGGAATGAAGCCATTTTTCTATGAACAAGGAATTATTTTTCAGACATCTTCTGTGGGAACGCCTCAGCAAAACGGACGGGTTGAGTGTAAACACAGACACATTCTAAATGTTGCTCGTGCTTTACGTTTTCAATCTCATCTTCCTATTTCTTTTTGGGGGAATGCATATTGGCGGCTGCTCATCTTATTAATAGAATGCCCTCACGTATTTTACACAACAAGACCCCATTCGAAATCTTATTTGGGGTACCGCCAATCTTTGATCATTTACGGGTTTTTGGTTGTGTATGTTATGCATATAACATGCGATCAAAAAATGATAAATTTAGTAGTCGAACACGAAAATGTATTTTTGTTGGCTACCCATTTGGAAAGAAAGGGTGGACCGTGTTTGATCTAGATACAAAGGAGTATCTCGTCTCTCGTGATGTTAAATTCTTTGAGCATATTTTTCCATTTGCACCATCTTTTGATATTATTCAAGTGCCTGCCGAAGTAGGCCAGGATGTGCCTCCATCCTCGGATTCTACTCCCATATTGGATGTTCAAGATCTGCCAGAATACTTTACTTCCAGTGACATCAATGCGGGTCATACCACAAACAACAATACTCAACATGGAGCTATGGAAAACCAAGCAGACGCTTCTGCTGATAGTTCGGGATCCACCAGTCCGCCAAATATGCAACTCCAAGGGCCACCGGTTACTGAATCTATTAACCTTGGACGAGGGAAGCGGGTTAAAATTCCTTCAGTAAAACTCAGAGACTACTCCATGCATACATCAATTGCTAACAGTCCATTCCTCTCCTCCCAAGTTCCTTCATCTTCCTCGGGTACGCCGTTTCCTATAGCTCACTATGTTTCTTGTGAAAAATTTTCTATTCAACATCGTGCTTTCCTAGCTGCAGTAAGTGCAGGGAAAGAGCCATCCATATATAAAGAAAATGTGCTCATTGACGGTGGACATTGGAACCACTTCCTTTGGGCAAGAAAGCCTTAGGGTGTCGGTGGGTGTACAAAATTAAATACAACTCTGATGGTAGTATTGAGC